TCGCAATAGAATGGCATATATAGCTTGACGGTTGGCTGAAATTGAGAATGTGAATATCGAAAGAGCTTGTGAAATACACTGATTAATCAGAAAGTGTTTTTATTTGATAATTATAATACTCGAAATATTAGTAACTAGAAGCTTAAAAATGGTTAGAAAAATGGATAAAACCTTTGACAAAGGATAATACTAATTCAAGGTGTGGCTATTGCCTTTGGCTACTGCGCATGATCAACCTCACTTCGATACTCTGAGGGAATACCGCTGAGTTTCAAATCAAGTTGTAAACATAACAAAATCCAAATTCTTTCCATAACAAAATCCAAATCCCTTCCATAACAAAATCCAAATCCAAATCCCAAAAAAAAAAAAAAAAAAAAAAAAAAAAAAAAAAAATCAAAATTAAAGGAAAAGTATTCAAAAACGACAACGTTCTCTTAGTACTCGCACTGCAAATTTTAAGAGTGTTCAGCCTAAGATTTGATTGCAGTTCTTTCATTCAAAACATTTGTGCAGATCACTTGATAATGAATAAAAGTATTAATATGAAGCTAGGAATATAAAACTAACGATAATTTATCTGGCTTGATTCAAAGGATAGCTTTGTCATGTGACACTTCTAACTTCAAAATAATAATTCATTATTCTGAATGATTAGAAAGCTAATAGAAAAAAGAAAATGAAGTCAAAGAAGTTGGTATATAATTATCACTTATGACTAAAGAAAAATTTTATTAAGACTAAAAATGAATTGTCATCTGTTCCAGGAGGTGTGCTTTTCAAATTTCAAATTCAAAATTAATTCAATTTCTTTTCCAAAACTCAGCAGAAGATTGGCATAAAACTACAGGGTCCTTAAAAGCAGCCTTCCCCCATAAACCTATGCAGGAATAGTTTGTCGCCAATCAGCCTCTAAATTTTGGAAAGAGAAATATTACCTATTTACTAAAACCCGCAGTTGGAAGTGGCAGGCAAAAAGCATGCTGCCTGGAACAGTCCAGAGACATTAAATATTAAATGCCTAAAAAATAGTGTTGTTCCTCATTAGAGAACGGGAAATACCCATCACATGCTATCCTCCCTCCCCTTGTGGGGAATCATATCAAATGGTGTCAGAATGATTTGTCACAAGATTAGTATACAATTGAATACAAATAGAGTAAAGAGCAGGAACACTTGCGGCAAAGAGATACATACTTAGTAGTAAGTCTCTCTGTCCAGCCAGCCTGGAAGAAAAAAAGAAAAAATTAAAAACTATTAGTGACAGATCGTTCTTACTATAAAATATGGCTCAAGAACAGGTAGGGTTATAGAGTATGCACTAAAGGCCAAAATAGCGTGCAAGATATGAATTGTGCATTTAGAAACTATAATGACTAGTGGTAGTGGGACAAAAACAACAAGTGAAAGAGAAGGAAACTTAAACACAGTATGAAAACGTAGAGTAAAAAACTTAGAAACCCATTTAAATCATAGGAGAGTAGCAGTGGCGGATCCAGGACTTTAAGAGGGGGGTTCATTTTTGCAAATCTCGGCACAACAATAACGTTCTCTTGCATCATCATTTTTCCCATGAGGCACATCACTGGCCTAGGGGCGCTCCTGATAAGGATAACCTATCCACCAGTCCCAAATCATATTAAATCTCATGAGTTAGTACCATACTTTTATTCATTTATTTAAAAAAATATAAAAAATCCAAGGTACCAGCCAGTGGGGTTCATTGGCACCCAATGAACCCCCCCTAAATCCACCACAGAGTAGGGAAAGTTATTGGATGTAAAGCGATATACTCCAGTAACGATCCCAAAAGTCATAGATCTTTTAAGTACATTTATGACAACGCTAAGTGTTGTCATACTTTTCATTTTGAAAAGTATGATTCTAGCAGTTTTTGTGAGCAGTTAGAATATGTCGTCACTACAAACATTTTGGTGTAGTATTGTTACACAAGTGAATATAATAAATCCGGTGAGCTCAGTGGTCACAAGTTACATCTTATGCTGCTATCTTTATATCCACCTACAGGTAAATTTAAAGCATGCACGCTTGTTTGTTGATTTGTATGTTTTTCGATATTTATGCATCTTGGTAAATATTCCCAACATTCACTTCACGTTTGGCGAATAATTGTTAAATAATGGTGTCTACTTACATCCAGGGTATCTTCGGAGAATATAACGACGTATTTCATCATAGATCCAGATAACCAGACTAAAAGGCATGGCAGGGAACCACCAATTCCAACTGTTGAAACAATGAAAACCTTGTTACTTTTTTATTTTACCAAACTACCTAAGCCATACTTTTGAAATTTAGCAATATTTGGTGGGACAATTTCCCAAAAAAATCTGTAAGCCACTTTTTTGGGACCTCAATGGACCTTTGTAGATTTCATTTGAATAACCAAGAAGCAATGTTTTTTTTTTCAAGTCGAAGTCAAACTTGATCTGGTTAGTCTAACTGATATGTAAAGGTTCACCCATGGACTTGCATCTCAGACACCTGCTCTTATCTCTGGTCCCAAGGAGGTTTGAGATACCAACACTTCAATTCCAATCTAGACTTGGACACTGATTCAAATGAGCTCAGGTAAAATCTAATATTTTTATCCGCGTATTGTTTTAAATCCTTGGGGGGAGGGGCAGGGGATAGACTAGTCACCCAATCGATACCATACTTACTTTAGTGGATACATGTTGAGACCTTTATCCATTCCTGGGGTATAACTAAGGATTGCTGCCAGAAGAGTTTCAAATAATAGACCAAAATTCAACATCTTGTTCCTGTGGAAGAAAGGAAAGAACAAAAACGAACCCTTTAATACCAACAACATTAATGGAATTTGTTACAATCAAAACCAAGATAAAACAGTAAACTCCTGTTGCAACATTCATGGAATTATTGCCCTAATTCACTACGACGCCACAGCTTACTTATGAGAGAGGCAAGAAAGGTGGACAACAATAATAATTTGAACTAATTCTACTGTGTAGCTGAATATTCTATCTAAAATGTCTGGTTTTCTAAGTTGTTGCTGTCTTGCCTCCCTCCAATGATTCTTAGCATTAAAACAAAAGATTATTTTCATGTGATATCATAGTCAAATTGGGCAATTAAAGTGAAAAATAGAAGTACTACTAATGCAATCCAAAACATTTATGTTTATTGATACCATTAGGTGAGACTTACTTCATTCCTTGAGTAAATATAGAATTCCGTCTTGTCTTACAGATGATCAGATCAGCCCACTGTACAACCACAATACTAACAAAGAAGGCAGTGTGGCAGCTGTATTCCAGGATTTTACGTTGCTTGAATGTCTGTGGGAAAAACAAAGAAGTCATTTTCATTATTCATCATCGGCATGTCATCATCATCATAGTTACTGTCATCATTATCATCATCAATAACATTATATTACCATCATCATCATCAACATCAGCACCAATGTTAATTATTGGAAAACATTATTAAGCTTGGGACTAGACTCCAACTAGGTGAAAGTTGGATTTACAAGTTGATTTTTGAGGAGGGAGGAAAATTGGAGAACCTAGAGAAAAACTCTCTAAGAATAGGAGAATCAATAAACGATTCTACTCACATACGAGACAGGCAGGACTACAGTAAAACCCGTGCCGCATTGCTGAGAGGTGATGAATTAGCAGGAAACACTAACCGTGTTTCCAATAATTTGGTTATGTGACACAGGTAAATTAGTACAACTTGTTGGCCGTGATATCACAAGCCCCTCAAATAGTAAGTGTTGTGGCTACTATCTGTCTTACCCATTCCTGGCCATAGCTATCTACAACTCCATTATTACTTCTATCATCCCATTGTCTTCTGATTCCAAACAGGTCTCGTGGGTAGAATCCATTTTCGCCCATGATGACAAAGTAGGTAAAGAATCCAGCAGAAGCCTGTAATGGTACAAAATACAAAATTGGTCAACTATGGATTCATTTAATTTGGTGTGTAGGATATAATTTTGACATGACCATTTGAAAGAAAGAAAAATTTCTAACCTGGATCATACCAATCTGGCCATAGGCCATGGCAATCAACCTGAAAAAAACATATGACCGATTGTTATTAATTCATCAATAATCACTAACGACTCTTAGTTTACACATGCATGGGATATTACCTCTCATTAACAAGGTTGTCGTTCTTTGGATCACGAGGTTTTCGCTTCATGATGTCATTCTCGGCTTCCTCGTATGCAAGGGAAATGGCAGGAACCTAGGAATGAAAACGTTAATAGAAATAAAATAAGTATGATAGCATCTCACAACCGTGTGTGGATATTCAATAATGTAGCCTTACCATGTCAGTTCCCAAGTCGATACACAGGATGGTGACAGTGCCAAGAGGTAGTGGAATATCCAAAATAATGAAAAACAAGAATGGTGTGATCTCAGGGATGTTACTAGTCAGAGTGTAGGCGATGGACTTCTTCAAGTTATCAAAGATCAAGCGACCTGAGGGTGGATAAAATATAACCATTGAGTACAAATACTTTGATGGAGAAATGCCCTATAAACAAGCGTGCGTGTWGGAGGTTGTTGTTCAGTAGTTGGTGGGGCACTTTCAAATTATGAAGTCATTCCTATTTTGGAAAATGGGAGTTTGTTTGTTTGTTTGTCCTGTCCAACAGCCAGGCTTAAAATATTTCTTTATAGTCAATAATACAAAGCAGCTATAGTCAATTTTTATAACTCTTATAGTTCTTTACAAAGATCAGGCCTGATTTACCTTCCTCRACTCCAGTAACAATGGAAGCAAAATTGTCATCCAGGAGAATCATGTCAGCAGCTTGTTTAGACACATCTGAACCAGCTATTCCCATGGCAACACCTGACAGACAAAAAACAATGAAATATTGCAGTTGAACCTGCTGTTAAACATTCATTTATTGAAAACATATAAAACTCGATGAGGGTATGATGAACATATATGGAGGGTAACTCTTATATTTTTTAGTTTACCATTATTGTGACTTGATCGGTCTAGAGCTGCAGATGTACTGATAAAGCCATTAATCTTGAGAGTTGTATGCAGCATAATATACGCAAAATCCAAAAATGGCAACCAATTCGAAAAACTATTGCTCTGCACTGACAAGCCTCTCATACAGGTGAAAATGCTTTTTGTTTTCACATGAACTTGAGGCTAGTCAGTGCAGCACAATAGTCACTAATATTCATATTCGTCACAATATTTCAATTTGGTGTATATTTTGGTTTAAATGTTTAATGAGGCAAGCAGTCAACATACCAATATCAGCTTTCTTCAAGGCAGGAGAATCATTGACACCATCGCCAGTCACAGCAACGATAGCACCCATTCTCTGGCAACCCTCAACAATGATCAGCTTTTGCTGAGGAGAAGTACGTGCAAACACAATCTCTGTGTGTTCCCTAAGAACTTCATCAATCATATCTTGGTCATAGTCCTGGATAAATAAAATTGTTTGTATTTTAGTTTATGATAGATATTGAACATGCAAGGTAGAGTAAAAGCTGACATAAAATAGTGTTCTTATATATTTGGTATCTAGTGAGAAATCAGGAGTAGGTAATTCTCTTGTTTGGTGCAAGGGATCCAGATAAACATGTACCTTTAGTTTTTGTCCATGGACGACGACTGCCTTAGCTTTACGGGGATCCACATCTTCAACAGGGATGTTAAGACGTTCTGCAATGTCTTCAACAGTCTCTGTTCCTAAAATACCAAGATATTTCACAATGAGATTAACAAATTAGCTTGGAATGAGAAAAACGTTAAAGGAGAGAAAACGAAAAACAAAAAAAAACAAAAAAAATCCACCCTTATCASAGCATAAAAATAATAATGTCCACCCAGAATTGGTAAAATCTTTGCCTTGCTGGTCATTTTGGCCAGTGATGTTGAGCCAGAAGAGCCAGAATCATAGCTAGGCAGAGATATAAAATTTACAATCTATTTAGATATTAACAATTATTAAAACTCGGCACATAAGAAATTAAGTTATTTTTGTCAGCATAAAAGCAGGTTTAATTAATTAATTTTCTCCCACTTTTTTAAATAAACAGTAAGCTTAAAAAAAAAATTGACAAGTCATCATGACCAGCGACGTCCTGGCCGTTATTTTATGCCCGGCTGATTTAACCAAGATACTCTCATACCTTCAGAGATAATACCAACACCCTTTGCAATAGCCTTGGCAGTGATAGGGTGGTCTCCAGTAACCATAATGACCTTGATACCAGCACTACGACATTTGCTGACAGCATCAGGCACGGCAGCTCTTGGAGGGTCAATCATAGACATGAGGCCAACAAAACAGAGTTTTTCCAATGGGAAGTTTTGTGGCTATGGAATAATGATTAAAAAAAAGAAAATGAATAAATAAATGGGAGATAGGGATTTCAGCAGTGGTTTAATGGTGAATGGGTCTTCTATCACTATAATCAATTAAATTTGAATGATTGAATGGATTGATGGATGAATGAATATAATTCTTGGTGTGCAACCCCATGACTCAAAATCCCTTGAGATATGAATAACAATGAAACAGTCACCATCTTGGTTGATTTAACAAGAGAAACTAATGAGGAATGCTTTGTTATCGTCAACTAATATGCTATGATGTAACTTGCACCCCAATAATTAATTGAATTTCATTGTTCAAGGACCAACCTCTTCAGCTTCAAACTCAAAACCTTTAGGGTATTCCTCAGCTGGCAAAAGCTTTTGACAGAAACCAAGAACACGTTCTCCAAGACCTCCAAGATCTAAATAAGCCTGATTGAAAGATTCTTTCATCTTTTCATCCAACTCCTTTTCCTCTCCATCCAAGAGGATTGTACTACAACGATCGAGGATTCTTTCTGGTGCTCCTTTCATCACTAAAACATGATGGAAATCTTTCTCCTTTTCATTTTCTGGCAGGTCTTTTTCTCCCTCTACCTTGGTGTGCAGTTCATGGATTGACACTTGATATTTGTTGGTTGAATTGAATGGAATTTCACAGACCTTGGGGTGTCGTTTCCTAAAACTTGGCACATTGCCGATGGCAAGTTCAACATACTTAAGCAAAGCAGACTCTGAGGCATCTCCTGCACATTCTCTGTGAAAATAAAGAATCAAAAATAATGAAAACAATGAGAAAAGTACTTCTACTGTTACACCAAAATACAAAAATTCAATAAATCAACTTTATTTAGAGAGGATGACACATGACAGTTGCACCTGAGAAACTTGTGGCCCTCTATGTTTAACGCCTCTAAATGAGAGAGGACTGCCATTTTATGTGGTCATCTGAGCCACCACGAAGGTCTAACTATTTGCAGGTATTTTTAGAGCAATTACAGCACGTTCTACTCAGATATTTTAAGACCTTAAGCATTGATCCAGCCAAGGCTTGCATTCACAACCTCCTGCTTATTAGTCACACTGAGCCAATGACAAAAAGCCATAATTTAATAGCCTTCTTTTTGGCCTTTATTTAATTGATTTACTATAGAAATAAAAATAGCATGCGCACTATGTGTGTAGTTATAAAGCATGCAGCAATTGGCAGAAAATGAGAAACATGAGTCATAGTGTTCTGCCAATCCCCAAGTGCATTACCATTGCACACATCACTGAAAGCAAGTCTTTTATTTCTCTTATTAAACACAAATTACAAGTGTGATGTTACGAATGAAGAAAAAAAAAAGTGCATCAAGTGTTATCCCAACCAATCAGAACAAGAGATTTATAACAGTAATTTTATAATAACCTTTTCAAAACAGGCTTGTCTTCTTGACCAGCTTTGAATTCAGCCCTGTTGCAGAGGGTTGCGATACGAGCCAATGATGTCCAGGTTTCAGAAAACTACACAAACAAACAAATAGTTAATAAAGATAAATTAACTTCAATCATTTATATCAGCTTCTATTTTGGTTTAAGCCTTTTATGGAAAACTACGAGGTGTTCTGAAACAACCTTTGGGCTGATCTAAGTCAGGCATGGCTAATTTACAGATCAAATACTGAAACAACCTCTAGGCTGGTCTAAGTTGGGCATGGCCAATTTACAGATCAAATACTGAAACAACCTCTAGGCTGGTNGCTGGTCTAAGTTGGGCATGGCCAATTTACAGATCAAATACTGAAACAACCTCTAGGCTGGTCTAAGTTGGGCATGGCCAATTTACAGATCAAATCCTGAAACAACCTCTAGGCTGATCGAAATTGGGGCATGGCTAACTCGAGATCAAACCTTAAAACAACCTCAACACTGGTTGTTTCAGGATTTGATCGAACCTTGAAGCAACTTCAGGGCTGATCTAAGTCAGGGTATGGCTAACTTACAGATAGAATTGGACATTAGCATGTTGGGTTTTGTGAGAGATGGGAGGAGGTGGGAAAGACCCTCAAGTCAAGACTGAATCCCAATTGACCAAATTGAGACCAAAAGCTCTACCAAAATGTGATGTATAAGCCAGATTTCTATACAAGGCAAACAGTTAAGCAGTAACAACCCTGAAAAGAATACCTTCTTATCCTCTCCTCCTTTCTGTTCTTCACTAGTGTCTGCTTCAACAATGTTGTTGTCATACCAAAGATGGGCTGATGAAAAACAAAAAACAAGTTTATCAACAAAAAGAAAAGAAAACTGCTAATTTAGTTGGAATAGGAATTTCTTTCACTTGGAATACAAAAAATGAATAAAATACTCCAGAAATGCAGCACATGCCAGCTGTGTCTGTATTTACTATCCAGGGCTAAAAAAACAGCCTATCAGGGAACAGTGTCTGGCCAGAATTGGAACTTGTATGGTCAAATCTTTGCATTGCTGGTCATCTGACAAGTAATGTTGAGCCAGAAATGAGTTTTGAATGAGCTAAAACTAGTAATTAGGCTTGTCTTCATAAACAGCCCTTATTTTTAGCTTAGTTATCAACCACTAACAACAACAAAAGGATAAATAGCATTATAGCATTTTGTTTAAGACAACATGCCAGACTATTGTGAGATCTGCAATTTAATAGGTTTGGACTACCCAGTTTTTTTTTTCATTTTTCATTATTGAGATTCATATATTCTTTAGTTTGCCCCAAAAACAGAAGCTCATTGTGGGGGCTCACTAAAAACAGATTACCCAGATTGCAAAATAGTGGGTAGAGTCTTAAGTTCAACTTACCAACAGTCATCCTGTTCTGGGTGAGTGTACCAGTTTTATCTGAGCAGATTGTTGATGTACTACCAAGAGTTTCAACGGCTTCAAGATTCTTCACCAAGCAGTTCTTGGAGGCCATGCGTTTAGCAGTCAGGGTCAAGCATACCTGTCGCAGAAAGGGTTTAATAAGTGTCTGTAGTTGTCGTAGATGTTGTTACAAGTAAATTATTAAAGGTAATTAAATGGTATTAAAGGTAAGAGAAAATAAATATGCGATAATAGTATACGACTGCTGTTGCGACAAAAGCGTTAAACTGTAAATTATTAAAGGTAATTAAAACATCTGAATGATAAAAGGGATTCAAAGAGGGATCTGATAGAAGTGGTACTAAGGCGTAATAAAGGAGAATGGAGAACTACAGTTGGAGATAAAAAAACAACAGCTTAAAAACACAATGGGGTTTTCACTTGATGGCTTTTAACTTGACAATTTTTTTTGTATTAAATGGGACTTTTTTTGTATTAAAAGGGGAGTCAGGATGGCATGATGGTAAAATGCTCACCTCCCACCTCTGAGGCCCGAGGTTTGAATCCCAGTCACCTCATGTGAGCTGAATGGGTTGGTCCTTTTTCTGACTCTGAGGGTTTTTACCTCCCTCCTCTCAAATCATCCCTAACTATTTCAAACTGTTTAGGTCTGTGCTCTGTGGTCATACATGAACTGTATAGTGGCTCCCTGAGGCGTTTTGGAATGCTTTCAGTTTGACCCAGTTGAGCTGAGCCACTGCTGTACTTGCTGTGGTGATTAGCAATGATGAGTTTTAATTTAGCTTAGTATAAAAGCTTACCGTCACAGTAGCTAGTAAGCCTTCAGGGACATTAGCCACGATGATACCAATTAAGAAAATGACAGCTTCAAGCCAGGTGTATTTCAAGATCAATGCAATAATGAAAAACGACACACCCAGAGCGACAGCAACACCAGTGATGATGTGGATAAAATGCTCAATTTCAACGGCAATAGGTGTTTTTCCAGACCCAAGACCACTAGCCAAGTTAGCAATTCTTCCCATGACAGAGTTATCACCAATTTGAACAACAATACCAGTGGCATTTCCTTCAAGTGCAAAGGTTGAGAAGAAAGCCAAATTTTTGGTTTCAAGTGGGTTTTCATTAGTGCATTCAGGTCCACGACTTTGTGGTTCAGATTCTCCAGTGAGAGATGAATTATCAACCTAATAACGAAAAAATCCTTAATCAAAAAAAGTGTCATTGAAAACTAAATTTTAATGAGTTTAGGAGTAGCATGAATCCTAAAATTAATGAAATAATTTTAACAGAACTACAACTTTGGAGTATTTCTAAACATATTAAATTTCATAGCAGACTTGGAATAAGTTATACAAACCTTAAAACTTTTGCATTCGATAATACGGATATCGCCAGGGAGACGGTCTCCACCCTTAACAAATACAACATCTCCAACTACAAGCTTCTCACTATCCAAAGTATGTTTTCCACCATCACGAAGCACTGTTGCTTCCTGTAAAAAAAAGTATATATACAAATCAATTCATAAACGCAGGATATTAAAAACAGGGTTCGTGCTAAGGCAACCACTTAAAATTCAAGGACTATTCAAGGAGTATACAAGGACCCAAAAACGAATTTTCAAGGAGTATGTTCAGCCAACTATGCCAAGGTTTTACACAGTGGTTGCACATGGCCGACTTTCAGATTTTCAATCTTTCTGACAACACCTATTTCAGAACCATGCAAATAGTGATCAAAGCAAAAATTCAAGTTTTCAAGGAGTTTCGCTAAAATCGTAAAATTCAAGAGCTTTTCAAGTGGCCTTGAAAATGTGAATTAAATTTAAGGAGTTTTCAGGGAGTTGAAGGGGTAGCACGAACCCTGTAAAGAAAAAAAAAATGCAGGAGGGGGGGGAGAGTGTGGATGAGGGAGAGGATACAAGTGAAGAGGGTGAATTCAGAATTGTCCTAAAATGTAGCAGGTCTTTCAGCAAATCTTATACTCTGTTGCTCAGGGTTAGCCTCAATTTTGTGTAAATTATTCATGCATGCATTAGTGCATGTATTTATTAGTTTGTAGGTTCTTTATCTTATTCTATATTCTGACAATGAACTGAGGCTACAACCCTGAGTAAATGAAAGTTTGTAATCAAGGAACACAGCGGTATTTTGTGAAATTGAAAAAGGTCTGTTAGAAAGTATAAAGAAAACAAAAGAACAAGAGAAAACATCTTGAAAGGCAAGGAGAAAACCCAAATGCTGGAAAAAAGGTAAGAAACTTGTGCAAAACTTGAAAACTGTCGTCCCATAAAATACTCTTCTTACCTGTGGTACCATGTTCTTGAAACTGTCCATGATCTTTGAGCTTTTTGCTTCCTAAAATGCAAGTAGTTAATTTAATTAATCCTTCTGTTGTTGAATTATTTCATAAAAATTAGCAAATTTTTWAAAATTGTTTTATCACCTTTCCATGAGATATAAAAGATTTATTGTTGCTAAAATCAAGTGGTTAATTACCTGGTAATAGGAGAATATTCCAGTAACAATGACGACAAATGCCAATACAACTCCTAGGTACAACTGAAAGAGATAATAAAAATGGTGTAAGAATGTGTTTTTATAACTGCATAGCAATAGTAACAATTAAATAGTGCTAAGAATCAATGGCAGTATAATATGAGCGAAAGCGTCTGATATTCTAGTTGAATAAATTTGAATGACAACAGAAAACCTTATTAGCAATCATGAAATAGAGCTAAGAATCAATGGCAGTATAATATGTGACAAAGAGTGTAAGAGTGTGATATCTTACATTATCCCTAGCTGCTTCCTCTATTGTAGCTTCTAAGACAGCCTGAGCAATGAAACACAAAACTGATCCAATCCAGAGCAGTGTTGCAAAACCTCCAAACAGTTGCTTTACAAATTTAACCCACTCTGGAGTGGTAGGTGGTGGAGTGAGGGCATTGGGTCCATCTCTCTTCAATCTTCTTTCAGCCTCTTCCTCCGTCAAACCCTAGAATGTTGATAAACTTGGTTAAAGAATGACTGTGCTCATCTTCCCCCCCCCAAAAAATTTTTTTCATTATTTTAAAAATAGTTTCCCATTTTTTTGAGGAATGCAGGCAACATTAAGATTTCTAGATTTCTTAAATGAAGGTAAAGGGATAGTGAATATTTTTGCTATTCAAATATGTAGAAGTTATGGAAAAGTAAATATTTTTACAAACATTAAAATTTGTCATAAAAAAAAACATTCAAATCAATGCATGGAGCCTGAAGACACAGAAAACAATTCATGAAAAAAATTAAATGAATAGTTCGTGTGAATACTGATATTTATAAATATGACTAAGAATTTTACTCTATCATGGTTGAAATCTTAATGGCTTGAATATAAGTCATTTCCCTTCACAGAAACTGAAATTAATATTTTGTACATTCTAGCCGACAATTCATGGACTGACAGAGCATTAATTTCAATGATACAATTTTTTGCTTTCTTTAGAAACGTGATTGAAGTATTTTCATTATAAGTTCTCTGGTATAAATGTTTATTTTGGAGTTGTCTTTTAATCAAAAGTAAACAACAGCAACCACCGCCTTTGAAAGAGGGGGAGTGAGGATTTAAAACTGACATTTTTATCGCAATATAGGAAACAAGAAGATCTGAGGAAGGAGAGCTTCTATGTAAATTTCAGACAATTTTTTTTGTTAAGAGATCTTTTGAATTCAGCACAAATTGGGGCTTCAAGATTGATTAGATGAACAATAAAGATCACCTTTCTACACCCCCTAGTATATCATAATGTATTTTAATATATAATCTGCTGTGCTCACTGGCCAGTGGCCATGAATATCCTCTATATTCGATTAATATAAATTTAAATATACTTTGTCCAGCAAATTTTTCAAACAAAATCATCAACAACATTCACTCATAGAATGAAACTATATTTTTCACGATGCTTTGCAGATAAGCACATTTTCAATCCACAGTACAGTAATATTATACTTTTGTTGTCTGAAAAACATCTTAACAAGAAACGTGTGGGAAGAAATAATGAATTATTAGATCCTTTAAACCAATCTATGGGATTTGATCTTCCCTCAATAAATACCAACGCCATAATAAATTAGACACAAATTCCTGAAAAATACTTAAGATTTGCCTAAGGCGATGATGCTATAGTGAAATAAATAGAAGCTACAAACATCAAACACTTCAGGGAAACATTTACTGATTCACTTGACAAATTCTTCACAGTTGACAAAATGCACATGAAAGTGATTAAAAAAGTCAGTATTAAAGCAATGGGTTCTTTATTTGAAATATTACTAATTTTGTAGGTTGAAATTAAGGTTGAAAACCTAAAGTACATCTTAAAGATCAGGTTTGAGAAAAAGAGAGCTTTTAAAGTTAGCTCAACACATCACCATTAATGAGAGAGTTAGGTCAGGTGGTGTTTTGTGGAATATGGTGTTAAAAAAAAGTATAATATTTCAAAACCAGATCCAAAATCACCACAAATTTTCCAATTAAAAAGCACTATGCTTTTGGTTTTAGGATTGGTCTTGAGTTTTTGAATTGTAAAATTGTAAGCAGAACCTTGTAGTTGTTGTAGCAACCTAAAAGCAAAATAATGCACAACCTCTGGCTTTAGTTGTAATGGTGTGCCAACTTCCATTGGATAAATTATTAATAACTCTTAGACGCAAAAAGGAATTCTGAAGTAGGGATTGTGAAATATACATTCAGACTGATATATATGACAGATATGAATGAAATTTAGAAGAAATATGTAGCAAATTCGAAAGACACATTTTAAAGCATGGATGGTTATAAGCAAAAAAATATGCTATGTGTTTGACATAAATAAATTGTTTTTGTTTCAGAGTACTTTGGAATACAATTTACTCTTAGAATACGATCTACTGTATGAGGCTTTGTCCTTGAAGCCTAGATCCTTGGCCCTAGCTAACTTGAGACCTGTATAAAAAATAGGCCTAACAGATTTTAAAATTTAAAAACTATGTACAATACTTAGATAGCATCACAATGGAAGTCCCATAGACGAGCTAAAGAATAATTTTCTAGCAATCATGCTGAACTACGATATCAAACAAGCGTTGGCAAATGCTAGAAAAATTGTGGCTTCTGAAGCAACATTAGCCCAGCTTGTTACAATGCTTAGAGATTCCAAAAACCCCGGACGAAACTATCGCTAAATTAGGGAGTAGTAAGATTTTAAAATAAGACTAATGTTGACATAAGACGAGGGATTCTACTACATCTTTCCATCCATCATTCAATAATATTGACATCAAGACAAGAGTTCAATAAATAAATATATAAAGTAAGGTACATCCCTCATCGAGTGAAGATTTACAGAACATATTTTATTCGCATGAGAGGACTCCAGAAGCGTCTATATTAATCTTTATTCCCTTGGGTATAAAACAAACTATAAGCTAAGACTTGAGTTTATGGGAGTTTGGTAATAGGGTAATACTAGACGAAGACTTTAGATGAGCTCGTATTCCACCTGCAATTCGATATATGAGTGCGTTTGCAAGAGAAAATAAACGATTTGGAAGTTAAGATCGATAGTTTTGGAGATCTTAGAATCCAAAATCTCTGAGTCTAAAACAAAAAGTTATTTTGTCAATGGAATTTTAGCTGAAGGATTGTAATCTTCGCTTAGCGCGACTTGAAGTAGATTTTGTTTGCGATTACACATCCAAGGCTTATGCCATTGAGTGTATTTGTTAGCATTGCCAAGCGTAAAGTTTGCCATTACTATTTAATAACGAAAAAAGAAGAAAGAATTTGCATAGTACAGTTGATTCCAATAGCAAATACTTGTTCACGCGTTAAAAAAAATTCATTTAGAATCACCGATGTATCTGGGCATTTACGCTCTAAACACGCCAGTTCACTCATAAAAACATCTTCTGTCGATTCAGATAATGTTCTTGAACTCAAATGCAAAGTTCTGCGCATAAACTTTGAGGTTTCCAGGGTTCACTGCACAACATAGCCTTAACTTACCTTTTCCAAATTGGTTTCTAGCCGGGACAGTAGTTCTTCTTGTGTAATTTTATGCCAGTCCTGCCGACATAAAAAAGAAAGATTGTCAACTTAAAAAGATAGCTATACGCTAAAATATGTCGACTAGCGATGCTTACCACTTCCAGTTCCTGTTTTAACTCCTCGAGATCCGCTTTCTTTTCCTTCTTTCCCTTCTTCTTGGCTTTCTTCTGAGCGTCGTCGCCATCTTTGCTTTTACCTTTGGACGGATCTCCACCATCACCTTCAGTCAGAGGAGTCGTGGCCACACGATAGCTGTTGCTTCGTCCATACTAACCAGCAAAAAACAAAGATGAAGGTTAAATCTAGGCTGTGGGACAAAATGGGTCAATAGAAATAGTTCTAACCTCCTCATCGAGGGCTTGTAATTCAGAAGAGTCCGCCATTTCTTACACAGAAGCCGGTCCGAATACAAGGGGAGTAACACACGTGGAGTGTTAACACAAACCTGTCAATCATTCATGAATCACGTGGCTTCATTGGAAAACCACTTGCCTCGGCTTCAAGTCACTAAAAAATATAGGGAGGGGAGGGAGGGTATACTCTTATTTCTTATTTTTACTAGGACTAAAAAAATACTTAAATCGAAGTTTGTTTTGATAAACAAAACTCAAAAACACAAACTTCAGCTTCTTGAATAATGAAACTCTAAAGATCTCTGGTATATTTGTACTGATGTCAAAAACATTGTACAAAGTATTTTAATGATATAAGTGTTACATATAACCTTACACCGTTTTATGACTTTGACGAAGATCATTAAACTTTTAATTGACATATTTCGACGTTGTCAAACGCCACCCTCAGAAAGTGATGTACAAGTGTACACAACATTAAACTTAAATCAAATTAAAAGTTTAATGATCTTCATCAAAGTCATAATCATGTTCTTGCTGCTTCGATCATTTACACCGTTCTATTTTTAATATTTTGGTTAAGGAGACAATATATGTAAATTCTAGGTTTGTAAAAGGTATTCCCATCCCCTTACATAGCCCATAGCCCCTCCCCACCTTTGCGCTACAGTCTAGGGTATACTTGAAATGTTCAATTGAATTATAACTATGACCCTCTCTAGAGAAGAAACCGGAAGCTCCTCCCCCTCGTGGTGTCTCTTGTTTCAACATGTTTATAAGTGTAGGCACTTGTGTTTTTACAGGTTTTTACTTGTAGCTTTATATTAGCTCGCCGCGTGGAGTGCTAAGTGCTTTAGTAAAATGCGAAAAAATACATGTCTGTGGAACTAGAGTAAAATCAACTTGAGCACTCGAATTCAGTGTTGCGTAGCCGGCGATAGCGTGTGTTTAGCGAACCTAATGGAAGAGCAGTTTTGGAAGAGAGTGAAGTATGAGAATTTTTATCTTTGTTTAATAAGAAAGATCTGAGATGACTGAGTAGCGATCGATATGAATGGTTTTCATTTTGGACTAAAGGTCAAGTTCAAATTACGACACGACATATGGTTACTTTTAGTCGCGCGGAACTCGGCAAGTTTGGGGAAGGAGCTACACGCACGTCAAAATACAATATACCTAATAATATACGTATGCCTGGGAGGGAGCGCCTTTGAAAACTGCCACCAAAAATCGATACACTAAAATCTTATCGCTCCCTTTCATTAAAAATCGCGCCTTAAAGAACTATCACCAAAGATCAATACACCAAAATCTTACCACTCCCTTTCATCTAAATGGGAGATTAAAAATGTACCCCCGCCCCCCCTTTGGAGAACTTTTAAAAGTTTTAAGTACTTCTAAAAGATTTACGCCCCCTCTCTGAACACCGGCCTTCCCGTATGTATAAATAACGAACAGTCTCTTTGTCTCTTCGGAGTCAGCTAGACCTTTTGGTAGCCAGATCAAGCAGGATAGATATTGTTACACTCGTATCGATGTATGGAACTTGGCCGACTTACCCCCTCGGGGTCACCATCGACATCGTACTTCTCCTGAAGGTAGAGCCCTGCTAGCTCATCCTTACTGCTCATCTGGAACAAAGAAAGAAAGGTAAAGAAAATGAAAAAAAGAAGGAAAACATGCGAAGAAAGAACAGAAAAGGGTGTCAGATTCTTGAATGAATACCAAGTAAACATTCTTCGAGATAAATTAGATTTAGGAAACTAATAAATTCTTAACACTGATAATATAGTTGGTTTGAACTGAATTTTTTTGAAATAAGGAAACTGCCGGCCTTAGTATTTTCATATAGGACTGTCTAACCGGCCGCCGATCAAGGATTTCAAGACCCTAAATGTATTATTTAAAAATTCAGCCCAACTTATATAATTAAGTATTAATAATGATAGGACAGTTTGGTGCGTGTTATTGTATGTACTGGGCTGGATCTTTAAAAATAACTAGTTACCGCTAGGTTTTTGCTTCCAAAAATCCATTTGTAGTACCAAACCCCGTGGGGTAGCGGAAGGTGTGAGTACAAGTTGTTGGTGTGTTCCAACTTTTGTTGCTCGTCAAACCATTACTTTTTTTTACGAAAAAAGAACAACAAATCACGCCATTGAAACTATTTTTGCTTGCTCTTTTAGAATTTGGTAGTTTTAGCCTTAAAATCCAAAATTGTGGAAAATAGAGATCTGGATTTACTCCTTGGATTGGACTTTTCTTAGGTGGAGTGTGGGATCGAGAAAAAATTTCTTTTGGTATTTGAAGTTAAAATCAATGTTAAAAGTCTGACATTACTTGAAGAAATGCTTTTAGCTATTTACTTTGTGAAAATAAATGAAAAATACAGCTTTTATATGAAAAGGAAATTGTTAAGGGTACTCAATGAGAATCTATGAATTTATTCCACTTGTTTTGACATTTCTTTTCATTTCTGTCAAACAAAAAATCAAGAAAGACCTTCAAAAATCGAAAACTTAGTGGCCATACTGGATCACATGCTAAAACAGAAGGAAAGCGGTCGCACAGTTACCATAGATACCACAAGTGAAGGTAAAAAGACTATTTATTAAAAGGGATGGATATTGTATACGGTGTCACCGCATCGATGATGCTATGCAAGTGAAAACAGAAAACGTGAGTAGTTATTTGCCCAAAAATATATATGTATGTGTTTATACCCTACATGTATCTAATTTAATCATGGTCTACCTGTGGCGCGATGAAGGTCCAGATGAGACAGGGAGCCCAATCTCTTTTCTACAATTGTTCTGATTTAGCTCAGAAAGCTGGTTGTGACTTAAAAATCATTATTCGAAAACACCTTTTGACTTAGTACCTTTTCCTATATCTCAAACATAGACCTATGTCGATTTTTGTTTTGCTTGCAAGAAAAACCATTGAAAAGACCTTTTGAGCTCCTAATCAAATCTAAAACCTAAAACATATTCGTCCAGTAATAAGCTTTCTTTTTAACAAGATAGAGAATTACAAAAGAGATAAACTATTTTTTTCAATGCTTCAAACTTTTATTATTTCTTCATTATCCAAAGTTATTTGTTTTGGCCAAGAAAATATTTAAAAACTAATAAAATAAATCAAAACCGTGGATGAATATAGCTTAATCAAGAGTTGAATGGGATCTTCAAAGGTCCTTTCACTGGATGTTAACTAATCATGTTTACATGAGGGAGCGACTTTTCCCATCCATTGGAAGTACATTTTTCATTATATAAAATTTATATATTTTGGTCAAAGCAAAACAAAAATCAACAATAATAACTTAAAATAAGTAAAATAATAATAATGATAATAGTAATGGACGAATTAATATAGTATAAAAACGATTGGGAGCTTCAAAGGTCCTTTCACTGGATGTGAACTAATCGTGAGACCATGAGGGAGCGACTTTTTTATAAACGAAAACTTATATGTTTTGGTCAACTTAAAACTGAAATAGAAAGGAACTTAAAGGTCGAATAATGATTAAAAATTGATTTGGAGCTTTTAAGGTCTTTTCCCCTTTTCTTTCAGTTTACTGTTAAACCCTATATCAGCCGGTCATCGATATACTTTGATTTTAATCGATTGAAAGTTACGAAACAAAAAACTACCAATAGCTTTTTTTTAAAAAAGCTGGCATAAGTTTAAGGTCACCCATCCAGGTACTAACTCAGCCCAACCGGACTTGACTCAGTGTCATGGAAGCCCAAGTATTATCCAGCACTGGACCACGGTTCCAGGTGAATCAGCATAACAATAGCCGTGAAAACAATGCACCGCATAGACTAGTCTTTTTGAGATTATTTTTTCAACCGATTCCGTGCGTGGCAGAGATGCGAGGGATTAGCCGATATGGTCTGGGGGCCGGCTGGTCTCTCCCCTGATGCTTCGGCTAGAACATTTTCTTGCGTAATTCGTGCACCCAAGGGCAGAAGGATTTAATCGCCGTCAGGTCCGAAGTCCATACGCCGCCTCAGCTCTGCGGATGTCTCGGGGGTATGGCACATTAGAATCGATTTTTTTTTTGGATTTATATCGGTAGGTGTTCGAACCGCATCGTATCCAGATAATATTCAATTTTTTATATTAACAATTGGCAATATCTTCTTATTGACTACCCAATTAGTTTTTTACTCATATTCAGAATTAACAGATGGTGCGATGGGGTTTAACAACGTTAACTGACAATTAACAGTTAGCTGATATTTCTGATTATTTTGGTTAATATCATGGTCAGCACTTGCATAATTATCAACCGTTTACTGACAATTGGCCCAAAAATGAGTAGTTAATTGGGTACCTACCACCTATATTAAAAGTTAGTATTAAAAAGCCGTCTCGGAAAATCAGCCGTTCAAGGATTTCAAAATACTATATGGCCGTCCGCTCAATATATTTAAAGAAATCCAGCACCAAGAATCAAAGTTTCTTGAAGAAATGAAATGGGAAGTGAAAACGTGAATTTTGACAGCTTTTTCCTATTTCTCCTCCTCCTCCCTCTAACGCTGACTGTGGTCAGCTCCACACCGATATATGGCCGCTTTGCATGACGAGATTGCGCAATCCATAAACTGGAACAAAGTTTTCCTTTGGATAACAAAGAATTAAAAGATTTTCTCGAAAAGTTTGGAAGAGATCATGTGCTCTTGGTGTGACAAGGAAGCGAGGAGAACAATTTTTCTTATGTGGGAAATTTGTATACTAGTGATTTTCGTACGAGTGGAAGACATACTGTACTTATAGCATATGCACGGTACGACATGTAAACGGGGGGAGGGGGGGAGGGGTTTGGGGACTACAGCCCCCCACCTTTTCTACGCTAAACTTGCACATCTCGTTGCACGTTTTATATCACTTATATATAATCTGAATTGTAGCCCCCCCCTCCCCCGTTAAAAATAACGCTCCCACGTCCCTGATTGAAATAGCTTCCTCGTATTTGAGAGTTATTCATCCAATCACAACGCGTAGTTATACGGCTTTGGAGAGATACGTTACGGCTACAGCAGGACTACGAAACCGTTCTAATCGTACTGTAGCCTTACCGTATCTTATGGTAGCCGTAACTACAATAACTCTCAAATACGAGGAAGCTATTTCAGTGTTATCGCGTTTCCTCTCTTACGAAATCCCTCAAATCAATATTAGTGTCGACTTGACGGAGGCTCAAACATTTATGCGCCGTTTAAAGACCATCGAAATTTATCAATAATTCTAAGATTAAGCCATAATAGTATAACTACGACATAACTAAAGCGCCCAAGAAAATTATTCCAAAATAATTCGATTAGCAATCGAACTGTGAATCGTTGATGTGATTGATTAGTTCAGTGTAAAATCATTATGTTGAATTATGATGGTATTTTTAATCATTTTCCCTTTTCGTTTTCCGTTACAGCAAGGACAATAAATGGACTTACATTATGCTAATAACATTTTTGGCAACAAAAATTTCAAATTGAAAAATGATACTTTAACACTGGTAAGGAAGTTTAGTAGCGATGCACTTGCAAATGTGACAAATACACGTGTGGAATTTTATATTCCGAGTCACTCATGATAATTCGACTTCATGGTTTCTTAAAGTAATTAAACTCGAGTTTTCTCTAACAAAAAGATACTGTTTTTAGACTTTTGCAAAGCTCTGAAATAATTACTGCACTTGTTGATGTTCGCGCGCTATTATAATTATATACTGACCAAACCAATCGAAGGAAACTCATTCATTATATATTCATCAAATCATTTGAATTATGAATCGAAGTAATATACAGAGTTTTATACGATAGAAAGACCTGCTTGTCAGCCATTAAAATCAATATTTTAGGGCTGTTTTTCGCAGTGACTATCGATAAATTGTTTCTGCCTTAGAATTCACAAATGGATTAGATGGAGGTGCTTTGGCAATGCTTAGAAACACAGCTACAAGATTATGTCATAAGTAAGGAAAAACTTAAACTAGAGATATACCAACGACTCACCTTCGAGTTGAAGAGTTACCAGTTGAATTGATAATGGTTTTTGGGGGCGTTACAGTAAAGAAAAGGCTAAATGATTTGACCAGACTCACAACCTTAGTGACCAAAACCGAGTAGACGCAGAGTAGACGCTACAAGAGCTTGTCACGAATTCTAGTTTTGATCAGATCAAGTGAATGAATTGATCTGACAGAGCGAAGTTGACAGCATGGGGTGGTTTGACAATAGCTTGTACAACTCATCTAGTTTCGTCCAATAGGATGCAAAGAAAGAAAATCTTAAGTAAACAGCTGTTCGCTTATAAACGTCTGCATATATTGGTCTGCAGAGGAGACGGTTTCATTTATTTATGCCCTTGGTAGATCGCAGATAACATTGATTTCATGGCTACTTTAATTGATTTCAGACTTTTTAGCCAAGTTATACGGTCACTTGTACAAAATATACAGAATCTTAACGACTCCATCTGACAATTTTGAATTAAAATACACCACGATAATCTTTTGTCGCTCGCACTTTCAATAAGGGTGTTTACTTTGAAACAACTTGCTCTTCCGTCCACTAACTACGCTTTTGTTCTGTTTTTGACCGGTACATAGAAAGACGTGGGTGATCTCACTTTTCGGCTTTCATTTTTCTCCCAATACACATTCTATCCCTATTTTCTCATCTAAATTGTCTCTCATGTTTTCTATTTCCTGTTGTTACTCTGGTTTTTGTTCCTGTGTTACGTACTTTTCGTTCTCTTTCCTGTTTATTCATGTCTTCAAGAAAAGAAAAATGAAAATGAAAGAACTAGAAAAATCGGGTAAAAAATAAGGAAAGTATAAGATAAAAAAAAGCCTACGACACAGGAAACCCACGAGTTTAAAAACCTCCGATGTACGTATTTTCTCGCTTCCTAAGTGTATAACGTCTTTCTTTTCAGCTCAAATAACTTTAAAGATCTCATTTAATCATGTTTTTGGTTATGATAATCAAAATTACGTTAAATTTATTTAGATTTTTAGAAAATCTTCATGGGAGGGGAGGGAGGGGATGTTAAACGCTCACTAGATCCATGCCTTCTCGACCACCCATTCACACAAACAAATGCGTAACTTTGCCTGTTACGTTGACTGTATAATAAACTTTGCTGACTTTTTCTTTTCTAAACAATAACATTTAACATTGAATGACCTTCAAAAGTAATACATATAGCCAGTCCGAAGTCAAGCTGGTTCATTTGAGATTGCTGCGCGTCGAAAATAGAAATCTTAGCTGTAAAATAAGACATTATTCAAGATGGACGCCGGACAAGTGAGATTCACGAACGTGGACTTTGCCGTGTTTGCTCTCATGTTATTCATATCTGTAGTGATCGGAATTTATTATGCCTTTACTGGAGGAAAACAGAAGACAACTGCGGAGTTCCTTTTAGCAAATCGTGGTATGATGGCCGTCCCAGTCGCATTGTCACTATTGGCATCTTTCATGTCGGCCATCACTATCCTTGGTGTCCCGGCAGAGATGTATACGTTTGGGACTCAATATTGGATGATCATAGTCTCTTATGTTTTTCTTTTTCCTGTTGTTGCTCTGGTTTTTGTTCCTGTGTTTCGTGCTGTGGAAATAACGAGTTCTTATGAGGTGAGTTTGCAAACTTTAAGGTACACACACGTGGAGTTAATGCGAACGTTTACACACCGTTAAAGTATTTTACTTTTGAATCTTTAAAGTTTGATTTATTGGTGTGTATTCTTGATGCAATTGTTAAGTTAGTATTATTAAATAATTCAACATGGTTGGTTATCTAATGTCACTTTATTGACATGTGCTTTAAGAGAGGGGGAAAATCTTGGCAAGGTCAAGGAAGGGAAATGTAGAAAGGTGTCACTGTCAAGCACGTGCAGTTACCCCCTATAAAGCATTTGTATTCTCTTAAAACTGCTGCTGCTGAGAATGTTCCTTTTTTACTGGTTTTTGACAATGGCCTATTAAAAAATGAATTTAATAAACTATGGTTAAATATCAAATAACTTTTGTTGTGAAGTGGGATATATCTTTTTCAAGACTACACTCACCTGGACGATCACACTTCAAAACAGACTTCAACACCTGGGTTCAAACCATTTACTCTTCAAATAACTTTTGATTAAAACCGCTATGCGTGCTTGCCATTCTGCAATAATAGAGAGAGTGAATGTGTGTGTGAATGGTTGAACTCCCTCAAGTGTCTTAGCCTATGGTTTATACCTAGACTCAGCATCATTTGTGAGTAGAGTTTGGTGTATCACTCCCCTAAGGGATCGATCATTTTTTAGCTGGGAGTGGGGGGGGGGGGGGGGGGGGGGGGGGGGGGGGGGGGGGCCCGGTGAGATTGAAGGGGGCCATCCAAAATATTTAGGATCCAAACTGGGGCCAGGCAAAAAAGGCCTTGACTTACACTTTTTTCTAGGTAAAAGAGACTTGAAATGGTTTTAATTGAATATGTGCCTGCTCTAAGGCTGTTTGATATAGGCATTGTCATTTGGCCTGGGAGTTGACCAGATGACTCCTAGATTTCTATTGTTTTTGTTTACAGTACCTAGAAAAACGGTTCTCAGTGGGCATCAGATCAATTGCAAGCATTATGTTCATTATTCAAACGGTAAAGAAATTTATGCTTACTAATTGAATTAAAAATAAATAAATGAAAAATATAGATATAATAGAAAAATGGGAATGGATAGAATGAATAAGGCTATTTTAGTTATGAATCTAAAGATCTATGAAAAGCAGTCATTGGAATGTTGAAATATGGGAATAGACAGAAGAATTACAATTACTTAATGTCAAGGAAAAGATTATGAAATTAGCAATCAAATGAAAGAAGGGCACTGAGGTTTAAATTTTATGTAAGCAGTTTTTAATGTTTGATATTTTTTGTTAGTGTCTCTACATGGCTATAGTAACGTATGGTCCATCATTAGCTATGGAAGCAGGTATGTATGGTTTTGATACAAGGACCAAATAGCACCCTAAAGAGAAAGGGTGGGGCTACAATTTTATATACCCTGTTCCAGAGTGAATTGCTGAAAACCATACCCTGTTTGGCGGCACATACCCATATAGCAAATATAGAGGGCCTTGGGCAATCCACAATCCCTGTGATATATTACTTTGCATACATGTATGATGTATTTTTATTAGTCTTTTTAGCAGTTTTAGTTATTTTATTCCAATGTGGTTTGAGAATCAAACACTTYTGATGCCACAGTACCTTATCTTGTTGTTATCATTCCTGTCTTAACCTTACAGACCTCTAAAGACCAACTTGTCAAATAATTGAATGTTTTTTTTATCCACAGTGACAGGATTTCCTGTGTGGGTTTCCATCGTGGCCATTGGTGTTGTGTGTACCATTTATACCAGTATTGTAAGTACAACAATTAATGCTGAGTTACAGGGCTTATAATAATGTGGAGTCAGTTACTGGTCATGATTACACTGTACCTTTTATATTAGTTTTAGCTTGGTCATACCTTATTTCAGGTTATGTCAGCAATCTGCACAGACACATTTTTATGAAAATTCTTAAAGTCTTYGTCTCTTTATGTTAGGGTGGCATAAAAGCAGTGATATGGAATGATGTTGTTCAAGTTCTAGTCATGCTAGGAGGCCTTATTGCTATCGTTGTTGTTGGTAGTCAAAGGGTTGGAGGATTTGGCAAAGTGTGGGACATTTTGGACAAGGGACAACGTCTCAAATTTTTTGAGTAAGTATAGATTTGTACCAAGTCCTACTCATAAACTCACTGTGGAAGAGAGATGAGTGTGGATGAGTGATTACTGTGGGGTATATCATGGGGGRAGGGGTATGGATTTTTTTTAATGAACTAAACGATGTACCCTCCCTACCCCAGTGAAGAGGATTTGCATTTCAAAGGGGTAGAGAAGGTCTGAGGAAGGTACATTTTGTAGTTCCAGAAAATATCTATACCTCCCCCTGAGGAGAAGGGTTGAGGGTGGGGAGGGTGGGGAGTGTCTGAGGAAGGGGATTGGGTATTTTTATGGAAGGGATATTTGGATATTTTCAGAGCTCTTTGCTAAACATCAATGGTTTTTCTCTATCAAGCTTTAATCCAGACCCAACTCAAAGGTTATCTTTTTGGAGCCTAACTATTGGTGGAGCCATTGGGCTTTTTCCCCTCTGGGCTGTCAATCAAACAGCAGTGCAAAGGTTTTTATCAGCCAAGTCAGACAAGGATGCAAGAAGGTAAGAAATAATTGACCATTTTACAGAAATGAGGAATTTGACAAAAGAAAATGTAAAGATTTTATGACCCATATAAATCTTTTTTAGAGCTGCTTTACTTGACGATTACTTTGATTGATTTATCAAACTTGTACAATGATTATGATAATGACATGATAATGATAGTGAAGCCACTGTGTTGGTGATGATAATGATAATGATAATGATGATTTCATGTTGATGATGTTACATGTTGATGATATCATGTTGATGATTTCATGTGTTTGATGATAATGTTGATGATGATGTGATGATGATAATGGTGTCAGGATAATGTTAGTATAATGAAATCATGTGATGTTGATGATGTCATGATGATGATGATGATGATGTCATGATGATAATGATGTCTTTTGACAATGTTGATAAATTCATGATGATTATACAGGTATTGATGTGAAGATGATGCTAATGTAAAGATGATGTTATGATGATATTTATGTCTTGATGTTGATTTCATGTCGACGATGATGCATAATGATGATGCCATAATAATTCCCAATAGTAATGAGTTCATTAGGATGGTTACTTGCATGTGCATGCTATTAAAAGGAATAACCTGACCAATATGATTGATATATATTTCAGATCTGTGTGGCTCAATGCTCCTTTGAGCATCTTTGCTGTCTCTCTGTGTGCGTTATGTGGTTGTGTCATCTATGCTTTTTATCATGATTGTGACCCAAAATCACAAAAGTTTATAACAAATGGAGATCAGGTAAAACACTATGTAATATGTAGGGATAAATATTATTTAATAGTATTCCTCTGGAAACCAAGGGTCACATAGCAGTAGTTCATTCATCTTTCACCTCTGGGGTCTCAGGTTTGATTCTCGAACTAGGCATCACATGTGAGTAGAGTCTTTTTAGGTCTTTCCCTTGATTTGAGGATTTTACTCAAAGTTCTACAGTTTTCCTCCCTCCAGAAAACCCAATTCCAATTTGATCTGTGCCGTAGTCATGCCCTGACTTAGATCAGCCTAGAGGTTGTTTGAGGGTTCGATCTGTGAGTTAGCCATGCCCTGACTTAGGTCAACCCAGCCTTGTTCTTTTAGGGTTCAATCTGTGAGTTAGCCATGCCCTGACTTTTATCAGCTCAGAGGTTGTTTAAGGGTTCCATCTGTGAGTTGGCCATGCCCTGACTTTGATCAGCCCAGAGGTTGTTTCAGGGTTCCATCTGTGAGTCAGCTGTGCCCTGACTTAGATGAGCCCAGAGGTTGTTTAAGGGTTCCATCTGTGAGTTGGCCATGCCCTGACTTTGATCAGCCCAGAGGTTGTTTAAGGGTTCCATCTGTGAGTTGGGCATGCCCTGACTTTGATCAGCCCAGAGGTTGTTTCAGGGTTCCATCTGTGAGTCAGCTGTGCCCTGACTTAAATCAACCCAGCCTTGTTCTTTTAGGGTTCAATCTGTGAGTTAGCCATGCCCTGACTTAAATCAACCCAGCCTTGTTCTTTTAGGGTTCAATCTGTGAGTTAGCCATGCCCTGACTTTTATCAGCTCAGAGGTTGTTTAAGGGTTCCATCTGTGAGTTGGCCATGCCCTGACTTTGATCAGCCCAGAGGTTGTTTCAGGGTTCCATCTGTGAGTCAGCTGTGCCCTGACTTAGATCAGCCCAGAGGTTGTTTCAGGGTTCCATCTGTGAGTTAGCCATGCCCTGACTTAGATCAG